ATATATATATATGCATCTAGCTTCCGATGAGCATGGGTGGCAGCTGGTTCCTGTCGTGCTCTGCTAGGGTTTTGATAGAATGGATCTAGTTGCTGTTGCTGATGGCCTAATCTCTTCTTCCTCATCAAGTTCAACTAGTTTTCTCTCCTCACATCGCTGGTTTTTCCAAGTTCTACTTTTCTCTAACTCTTTTCCTCTTCCCGGGCTTTGGTTTTTTTAAAAAATATTGTTCCATTGCTAAGCCCCACTGTTTGCTGATTGTTTGTCTGGTTACTTGGGTTTCTCTCTACTGTTTTGTCTCTACTGTTCCTTTTGCTGCTCTACTTCTTCATCTACTACTCATTTACTTGAAATCGACAGCACACCTCGACAGCTCAGCTCCTCCAGTGTAGTTCCATAGCACAGACCCTTTGCTAGTTTTTGTGCTGGGGGTCTTTTTAGAGGTGGCTGACCCTAATGCAATTGATATAGCCACAGATATTCAGTGGGCCAAGGCCACTTTTGCTGAGATTGTTGGGAAAGGATATGATAAAGTTCAAAGTCCTGATGACTTGGTTTTTCCTCAAGAGTATCATGAGGTTAATGACCCTCTTTTCAAACCTATATGCAAGAAAAGTGGGAAAATGGCTATCTACTTCACTGAAGAGGACCTAAATGGACTAACTGACTGTTATAAATTTACCTTAATTGGTAAATTTCAACTGGGCCATCCTAAAATGGAATCTGTGAGAAGATTTTTTGATGGACTGAAATTTAAAGGGGCTTGGAAAGTAGGCCTACTTGATGGAAGGCATATTCTCATCAATCTCACAAGGGAAGACGACTGTGCTAGAATCTTTTCTAAACAATCTCTTTTGATTGAAGAAATCTTAATGAAACTATTAAAGTAGACTCCTGATTTTGACCCCAGTAAGGAATTACCCATTGTCCCCATTTGGTTTAAGTTACCTGGACTTAAACTACATTTCTACAACCACAAAGTTCTCTTCAACATTGGCAAAGCTTTGGGAAGACCTTTGAAGTTGGATGCCCCCACCTTCAATTTATCCAGACCCTCAGTAGCTAGAATTCTGGTTGAAAGAAATATTACTTTACCAGCTGTGGAGGAAATTTGGTTAGGTACTGAGCATAGTGGATATTGGCAGAAAATTATAGCTGAACAAAGACAAAACTAGAAGGGAAAGATTCGAAATACTAGAGCAGAGACAAAATCCACCAATCGAATTGAATAGAAAGGATGATTCAGGAGGACACTTTACAAGAGATGGCTGCATTATCTCAGAATATAGAAAAAGATGTTGTTGTCCTTAATAACTCTCTACAAAATGCTCTAAAACCTCAGACTGAGCAGCTTCACCTTATCCCACACTCTACTCAAGTTGAACAGATCCAGTGTATTGCACTTCAAACACCTTATGTTGAACAAAGGGAAACAATTATTGATATACCAGAGGAAGATCCTTTGTTATTGCAATTGACTAAAAATTTAGATGAGGGATGGAAAATTCAGAAAACAAAAAAGAAGAAAATTCCCTTGGAACTAAAGAACCTCCTTCCTTCTTCTTCTTCTTTGGAGGAATACCTCCCTCTCACTTCTAGCACTGTTAGAAGTAGGAGAAGGGGAAAGTCCACCTCAATTGGTTAATGAACCTAATATGTTGGAATGTTAGGGGATTAGCACATCCTAAACCCCTTAATAGAATTTTGGCCCTTAATAGGATGTATAAACCTTGGATCATTGCAATACTTGAACCAATGATAACTAAACATGTCAACAAAATTGCAAGGAAGTTCCCTGGATTTCAGCTTATTATCAACACTAACAGTAAAATTTGGCTATTTTGCAGACTTTTTTGCAGACAGGAAATTCAATGTACTGTCCTTAAAGAGGGAGTCCAATTTATCCACTTGAAAATTAACTTAAATTGCTATAATGGCTTTGCCAACTTCCTTTATGCCCTTCATTTATGCTGGTTGTAAATCCACGGCTAGACATGAACTTTGGCAACAGTTACAAGATTTCAGCTATTCTATAAGGGAATTCTGGATTTTTGGGGGTAACTTCACCTGCCTCTCTTCACCTAGTGAGAAGAAGGGTGGGACATCTCCTGATATCAATCTTATGAACATTTTCAATGACAATATTCAGTATGCTGGACTTTTTGATTTGGGCTTTATTGGTCCTAAGTACACTTGGAGAAGGGGGAAGATTTGGGAGAGGCTGGATAGAGTTTTGGTGAATGATTTTTGGTTCAAAGATTTCCTACATACATTTGTCCAACCCTTGGCTATGAGTGGGTCTGGTCATAGACCCTTACTTATTCAGATATCTTCCAACACTTCTAAAAGTAAAGCCAAGTTCAGATATCTCAATATGTGGTCCATGCATGGGGATTTTCTTAATCAAGTCTCTATGGCTTGGGCAGATGTTCATCATCACATCCATGGTATCAAACTTTGGCTTTTGCATAGAAAAGTCAGTAAACATATGAAAGTGGGAGGTGGTCGAGAACATTGATAGTAAAGTACTTAAAGCTGAACAGAAGGTATTACAGTTAGAACAACTCATGACCTCTGGCATTGGGTCTGAGATGGATCTTCAGTCTGCTAATGAACATCTGTTGGATGCTTTCAACATGCAAGAAGACTTCTATGCTCAGAAGGCCAACATAATGAAATTTTGTCATGGGGATAGAAATTCTAATTATTGTCATGCTTGCATCAACTATAGGAGGAAATGCAACACCATTCATAAAATCCTTTCTCAGGAGGGTCACTGGATTACTACTGCTGATGGCATAGCTGGTAATGCTGTTCAATACTTTCAAAACATTTTCAAACAAACTCCTGCCTCTCAACCTGCCATTCAATACACCTTATTTCATAAGGAAAGGGAGTTCGAGAAAGAGAGTTCACCCAAAGCCTCTCTCTCACTAATATTCCGGATGAAAAGGAAATATGGGAAGCACTGAATTCTATTGACAACACAAAAGTAGCTGGACCTGATGGGTTCACAGCAGAATTTTATAAAAAGGCCTGGTTGATTGTGCAGGGTGATGTCATTGCAACAGTCCAAAGCTTTTTCTGGGGGGCTGATCTCCCCAAATATTTCTCCTCCTGTACTATTACTTTGGTTCCCAAAGAAAAAACTCCTCACAAATGGGAAAATTTCAGACCCATTAGCCTAAGTTCTGTTATTTCAAAGATAATAAGCAAAGTCCTGGTCCATAGATTACAACCCCATTTGAATCAGATTATCTGTAGGAATTAGGCAGCCTTCATCAATGATAGAAGTATTGTTGATAATGTTCTCTTGGCTCAAGTGTTGGTATTGGATTTGGACAAAATCACTAGAGGAGGTAACTTAATTCTCAAATTGGATATCAAAAAGGCATATGACACAATCAGTTGGAAGTTTATTGAACAAGTTCTCATTGCCAGAGGTTTCTCCCCTTCCTTTATCTCTCTAATCAATAGATGGCTGGCTAATAATTTCCATTCTGTCTTCATTAATGGAACTTCGGTATTATTTTTCAGTGCATCAAGAGGTATCAAACAAGGTGACCCCCTTTCCCCTACCATATTTATTTTGGTTTTTGACTACTTATCCAAAATTTTGAATGAGATGACAGCCAGGAAACCCCACTCCCTTTATAGTCATAGATCTTCCATCTTAATTAATCATTTGGCTTTTGCTGATGACATCATTATATTTTCAAAAGCTTCCAAATTTGCTGTTAGATTTTGCTGTTTCATGCAAAGCTTGGAGAAATTTCAGGATGTCTCTGGAATGAAGTTGAATGATCATAAGTGCATTACCATCTTCAGCAAACAATGCAAAAGTGAGTTAAAGACCTGGGTTTCTGACTTCACTGGCTTTACCAATAGCCATCTTCATGTGAAATATCTTGGGGTACTTCTCATCAAAGGAAGAGCAACAAACTTTCAGTTTGATCATATTTTAGAAAAGATTCAAAGCAAACTACAAGCATGTGAGAATTCTTTTTTATCCAATGGGGGTAGGATAACCCTTCTGAAAAGTGTTCTATCTGCTATTCCATCTTATCTTCTGCAAATGAATATTTTGAAAAACATTATTGGAAGGTATTTTTAATAGATTTCTATGGGCTGGTCAAAGGAAGCAAAAACACTGGACTAAATGGGCTAAGGTGTGTAAACCTTTTATGGAAGGAGGGTTAGGCTTCAAGTCCTTCCCCCAAATAATGCATAGTAATCTGTACAAACTCTGGATTAAATTCAGATCTCAATCCTCCATTTGGGCTGAATTCTTATGGGAAAACTATTGCAAGCATCAACACCCTACCCAATTATCTTTGGGTTTGGGGGATTCCCCCATTTGGAAAAAGATGTTACAGATTGGGGAGGAAGCTGAACAAATGTATGTCTGGGAGATAGGTGATGGCTTGGTAAACTTCTGGTGGGATAATTGGTCTTTGGAAGGTAGCCTTCTTCATGATCAAATGCTCCAGCCTTTCCTAAGAATGTGAAGGACCTTTGGGATCATGATAAGTGGAATCTTACTCCTACCCTTACTTTTTGCAACCCCCCTCAAATCTCTAATATTTTGAAACTTTTTGTTAAACCTGGAAAATAGGAGAACTTACCACCTTCTCATCATCCCCAACAGGTGGTGGATTGGGGTCATACAATTTGGAAAGAACTTCTTACTCCTTCCATGTCATTTTTCAAATGGAGACTCTTCTTAAAATTGATTCCCACTGATGATATATTGAAATTGAAGGGTCTAAGAGGACCCTCTAGATGTGTTTTCTGACTAACTGAAGAGGAAAAAACTGCTCACCTTTTCTTTTCCTGCCCTCTGGGTACAAGAAGTTTGGTCTATTATGATTAGAAAGCTGAATGTCTTAACTATGAATCTATCATGGGAGGTATTCTATAATTGCTGGTCTGATTGGAGGGGAATCAAACTTAAAGATATCCCCAACATTGTGGCTTGGGTTTTTTGGGTGGCTGGGAACCAATGAAGCTTCTCCTTCAGAGCCAACGAAGATGGGTCTAAATTGTATTTCCTTTGTACAAAAACTGATTAAATTTAAAAATTTTGGAGTTGTGTTGGAGTTGAGCCCATCTTCTAATCCTTCCATTACCAAAGTTTTGAAAATTTGCTGGTCTCTTTCTAAGTATGGATGGATTAAAGTTAACATTGATGGTAACTATAAATCTCAGTATGCTGGAATTGGTGGTGTCTTCAGAATTCATAAGGGGAGGTGCATCTTGTATTTTCAATCTCCTGTTACAGCTATGGATCCCCTCGGAAGATGAATGTTAAGCTGTTTTTGGGCCCTCAATTTAGCCAGATCTTGCCACTTCAGCCAGTTGTATGTTGAATCTGACTCCTTG